CCAAACCCCACACAGCTGTGCTGAAAGCTTGAACACCCAGTGTACCAGCCCCATTTCCTGTTCCCATCGCCGAACTGCATGTACCATTTCTTACTATTCAAAAGGACCAGTGATAACCTGTCACATCCATTCCGTATCGGAGTTAGTGCCTCCACATAGCATTTCTGCATTTCAAGAAGGGTGTAGACCAATTAGGGGGAGCCTACAGAAAATTCTTAAGGATGATCAGCAATCTATAAAAGCCTGATTTAAAGAAAAAATTAAAAAACAGAGCTGCTATGTTAATAGGGAGGAGAAGACTGAATAGAATTAACAATGTTTAAATAACTAAAAGGTAGCTATAAAGAAAACTTTTCTACACATTGACTGTATATAGGACATTGAATAATGGGACTTAAGTTACATTCTGGAAAACTTAGGGTAGGTATCAGAAAAATCCTTGCAACAATAATTGCTTAGACAAGCTTTTGCAGGAATTACATATATAGAGGCACCAACCATAAACATAAGCATTTATGTCCCAGCTGTGCCAATTACAACTGTGTGTGTATATGCACATGTCTATACATATACGTTCATTTCTTTCTCAAGCACAGTGGAAAGATTACACATAGGTAAACTGATTCACATAAAACACTGTCTGTAAGATCAATACCACAGTTTCTTGAGAAACATTAGCCTCACAGATCACCGTAAGCAGTGTGTTAACCATTACTCCAAAATAATGATCTCTTAAGTTTCACAAAAAAAACATTTCTTGTATAAAACCTAATTCATCTCTTTTCCGATATCTGCTTTCTGTCATCAGACATTTATTAGATGGTAAAACAACTGACTGAGGCCAAACACCATAACCAGCAAAATAGCTTACTACTCTAACAGCTGCATATTAAACAAAATAAGTAACTACAGTTCAGTGTATATGCAGGCAGATAAACATTCATAAATACAGAAAAATGAAAAATCTAACTAGATAGACTGAGAACTTTGCAATAGCATGATATTCCAGATCAATGTGCATCTGTGGGGAAGGGAAGAACAGAAACATTCTTCCAGAATAAAAAAATGCAGCATTAGTAGAAGATACTTTGCATATGTTACTTGCAATCTATGGAAACAATGTCAACGGCAGCAGTTAGAACACAGGCAAACCATCTTCGCAACAGCACCTTGAAATTTATATGCATTAAGTCTGTTGCCAGTTACCACTAGCAAATGAAGGCATTAGATCAGCACAAGTGTCTAGGACACTGAAAATAAATTTAAAATATGTCACACACAAGATATTCATTCTCAATACAATCTACAGAGCTGTGCAATTGTAAAGTAACTTTTAACTGAGAATGAGAATCCTGAAATCTGACTTGAGGTAAATTAGTTTATAAATTGTTTTTCTTTAGAACGATTTTAGGAATCTAAAAAATCTTGTTAAGGTGATTCTTGCACACTGCAGAAACACATGCAGTGTTTCTCCCACTGTGAGAGGAGCAGAATAACATTCTATCTATATGTTAGACACAATAATTGAGGTCATAGGAGGATCTGTACTTTTCCACGGATTGAAAGGAACAGACCAGGTGCTTTGTGCCTCCCACTGTATCTGGAGCATGCAGTTGCCTGGTAACTTGTTGTGTGCTACTGCATATTTATCACACATACATATATTTTTAATACAAAGCTGACTATTTACATTTATTGGCCAAAACAGCTTGTAGCAATACTCTGGAAAGTTTAATGCTGATTTAGTGGAATTTAGGTATGCACCTACACTGTTTGACCAACAGCGCTTTACTGTATCTTTTTCGTCTTACATAAAATTACGTATATGTGAATTTGGAGCTCAGAAAAGGCAAAGTCTACAAATGAAAATATCAATTAGCAGCAGTATGTAGCTTTTCACAGGACATCATGTAGTCTCTCAAATTCAACAAGCATAAATTGAACAGACAGTTATCACCTGAAATTTTTACATAAATGTTAATACTGTTCCCAAAACTAAGCTGTTTCAGCACATGGGCTGAATTCATTGTCTTCATGAAGAGATAATATCTTCATTATAAGAAAGAAAATCTGATAGATACATAGTGCTACAGAAATAACTTTATAAATTTTCTCTTGTAAAAATGAAAGCGAGTGTTCCAGTCGTATTGCTTTGCTTGTATTTAAAAGATAAAATTTTGCAGATAATTAACTAATCCCCCCACTCCAGTTACAAAACACAACGATATAAAGTCCTTATACACTTCACACTATATCTATTACAAGATCCTGTTTCATTCAAGCCATACAATTAGCATTACCTGTGCAAACCCATTTAAAACAACAGATTTTTCAGGCATCAGAGCAAACTGTGGGTTATAATTTGTAATGTAATGCTTCTACCACTCATGATAGTACCATAGCTGCAAGGAATCAGTGAAGCTACGAGCATGAATTCTGTAAAGTCACTATCAGTGCAATTTCCAGATGAAGGATTCAGTGCCCTGTCAAGATGCTCAACTGCAGTCTTTATTTAAAAAAATAAGTAAACCACAACGCTGCAGTAGGTTTTGTGTAAAAACCTGTCACCAGATCCTTAGCTAGTTTAAGTCGATGTGTTCTACTAAAGTCAGTGATACCAAGCACATCAACACACGACAAACATTTCAGTGCTCAGACCTAGAAAAACACCTTGGAAAACGGTCATAATTTTTTATATAGTCTTCATTTTCACCAAGGATCTCTTGACGCTGAACAAGATTAGGACAGTAATAGTTACTTTCAATATGTTTTGTACTTAACATTAGTTTGGATTTTAATTTAAAAGGGTAACTAAGATTTTCATAGCTACAAGAATTAATGAGTGTATGCATACATTCAAGAGTTACATTATTTGTGTATAAAGACTATCAAATCTCTAAAAAAATAAAAATAAAATAAAATAGTTACATTTATCTACGTATGGAGGCTTCAAGAAATGACCACAGGTGCAGAGGGCAGGATAAGACTGAGCTCTAAAAAGAAGATTTTGGAGGGGGAGGGGGCCAGCGAGGGGAAAGACTAAGCAGCCTAGAACACTGGCAGCCAACAGATTTTTTTCTCCTCCTTCTCCCTCCTCCTCCTTTTTTAAGGGAATACTTTTTCATCCAAAGCATGTGAACCATTGTCAAGAATGTAGTGCAAGCCAGAAGTTTAAGTGAGTTTAAGAGAGGATTAGCCGAATTCTTTAAGATACATGCCAGCACTACTGTTACAGAAAGGATCTGCATCATGTTGACACATTGACAATTATTTTGATAACTACACATCTAATTCAACAACTTTGTCTTTTACTCAACCGTACAGCTGCTAGTATTGAAGAGAAGCTGCCATGCAAGAAACAAGACTTATAGCATTTGTGCCTTTCAAGAACCGCAGCCTGTCAGCTCATCACAGAGAAGTCTTACAACTTACACGTTCCAATTAGACTCCAAAAAATCTGGGGTGGCCTACCGACTATATTCAACACTTACAGCTGCTGTAGGAACACATCATCAACTTAAAATATTTGGAGCATCGGTTAAAGGTAAATAAGTAAAAACTATTCTTAAAGCAGCGGGTTCCCAGTTTGATTAGCCTAAATTAAAAAAAAAAAAAAAAGAATCTTCCTTCAAAGGTGGGTTTCTGTTCTCACCAGTTTTCACAAGCGAATAGAAATTAAGCTTGCATAATCACTGAAAACAGTGAAAATTTTTCAATTAATTCCACAGCATCAGAAATAGTCCTCAAGTATCTTTTATAAAGCAAATGCTTCACTCTTAGAAATGTTTTTTTAAGCAAATGCTAGCAGTGCTGTAGCACATTTTCATTCAGTCATGCATGCTTCTCCTAAGATTAAGCAACTTAATATTTTAAAAACGCCATCATAATTGTACACGTGATACAGTTTTTCTGCTTTTCAAAGTTTGCTGACACAGAAAAGCTGCAAGTAATAAAAATAGATCAACTTGCTAATTCCTGAGAAAGAAACAGTCTTTTTTTTTAAAATAATGCTTATCACATATATTAAGTATCCATAAATCTATCATCATGAACTGTAGGAGCTTTTTCATTAAAACATTGATATCTGAATACAGCCATGCAAAGGATTCATCAGTTCCACAAAAACTGTATGACTGAACTGCTATGGAATTCCCTAAGGATGAAAGTGTCAAAAGTAAACAGTAAGCAAGGAATCTTGTTTCATTTTATATAGTAAACAATACAGTGATACTGGGGAAAAAAAAAAGGATAAAATTAGAGAAAGAAAGCCTATATAGTCATAGGGTAAGCAGTAAAACAGGGTTTTTTGGGTTTTTTTTTGTTTTTTGTTTTTTTAAATAAATAGTTAGGCAAGCATAGAAAGCATTTCCAACAGCAATATACAGACCAGTTTAAAATCCTGGCAACACTGAAATACAGGTCACCAAAAATTAAGAAAGCAGGGAGGGCTTTTTAGGTCTTAGTTATTGTGTGTGTATATATATAAGTATATATACACACAGACATTTTATATATATATACACATGTATATACACACATATATATATTGCACAACTCCAGACAGCTATCTTAAATTATTTCTGTGAGTGAGCCAAAGTAGAACATGGAAAGAAACTAATCCATACTACCAGACAGTACTGTTAGTCATGTAGGAAAATTAAAGATCATTGCATCCAGTGCCATCACTAAAAGGAAAGAAAAAAACAGAGAGAGAGAGAGAGAGAGAGAGAGAGAGAGAAGGAACCATCACTGTGTATGTCATGAGCATAAAGAATTTATTTTAGCCCGATGAACATTGTACTTTTAACTTGTCAAGCATCATTAGCTGTGTGCACTTTTTAAAATCTAAGGCTCAGGTTCATTTTAGGCTCATTTTAGATGACTGACTTGTTTTCCAGAATGCTACTTTAGGGTATGACTACAGCACAGTGTCATAAACTTCCAAAGGACAGTACAGTAGTAACATGATTAAATACTAGACTTCCAGAATAAAAAAACAATCCATTTAATATAAAAGTTTATTACTTGTACTTCCAAAGGAACAAGCAACAGGAACATTGAATGAGAACTGCAAATCAAAGCAGATCAGCCTGGAATACTTTGAATTTCGAGCTCCGAGTTACAAATCCTTCCTTTCATGTTATAGATGTTTAACAGCATTTGGATGCACAAGAACTGCCTTTAAAGTGATGTCTGCAGACCTCAAAGTCCTGAATCAGAATATCTTATCAAGAGTAAACAGTCTTAGCACCTCCTCTGAAGGGGGTGAAACAAAATACAACCACAGACAAGAAGGAAATGAGGCAATACAAATTTTTATTCTAGAGGTAACAAAATCTTGAGAAAATAAAATATTTGTGCTAAAAAAAGAAAAAGTTTGCTTTGCCTATGAAAAGATGCTTTGAGTAAATATCTGCTCTTTTTCTCTCCCAAGCGTGAAATCTCTCTTCAGTTTAAGAATGTTTTCAAAAAAATTGAGTAAAGCAGAAAGTAAATGCATACCGCAGAACATTTACAGAATCTTATTCTAGGGGGGAAAAAAAAGTCAGACGAGATTCCTGCACACATACACACTGGTAGTCTAAAAGTTAAACCACTCTGAGAAATCCAAAACATTTCACATGAATCAGAACATGCTCTGAAAGTTAGTCGGAAGATTTAAGTAGGTGTCACATTCTCTTTAATCTTATTAATTTTTCCTTTTAGAAATTCTGGTACCATGATAAATGTTTAAAATAGGTGTTATTCGGTCATTAAGAAAAAAAAATCACTGCAACATCCTTCAAAAGAAAGCCTAGCTACTAGATACACTCGTGCTAAAGGTATCTCTCATTATGACCACAAAGGTGGGAGCGAGAGAGGGAGCAAGAGAGGGACTGAATATTACACCATCTTCCAAGCATTCTGAGAAAAGAATTCAAAGGATAAAGTATTTGGGGGCTAAAACCAACAAATGACATTCTAATCAAGAAAGTTTAAAAAAAAAAAAAGACTTTCTGATGATATGAAAAAGTTGGAGAAGGAAGCGAGGACAAAAATGAAAAACCATTCACAGAGTCAAGTATAATAGCATAATAGACTATCACCGTCTAATCTGAGCAGTACAAAAGCAGTTCATACATTCAGAGCAAATGGATCTTAACGTAGCATGTTCCTGTGGGAGGGAAGAAAGGGGGTGTCTCTCCCCTTTACAAGGCCAAAACAAGAAGCCCTTTTCAATATGCTTCAAGCTATGACCCAGGTAGTAGAAGGTAGTTTTTCCTCGGACAGATAAAGCAGGGCAAAGGATCTAGTACAACTTCCTTGCAACCTCCCGCTCCTGAGCCCCTTTCAACTCTTCTTTCCTCTTCCAGCGATGGGAAGAGGGCAAGGCATTTGCTCTCCATACTCTACCCTGCTTGCCTCTGTAGTAGTAGCAGGCAGTTGTGATTTTTCTCCAAAGAGATTTAAACATAGAAATTAGTATAGCAGGGCATTACGGAAGCATAAGATGCAGTGGACATAGTTTATAACCATGCTAGTTTCTTGTCTGTCATGACAAAATAAATACACCAGTTCCTTACTTGATCGAACTTCTCTCAAAGTAGAGGTTTCCTCCAATATCTGTCAGGTTTCTGTCTGAATCACAGAAACATCCAAAAGAACACGTGTACTCTGAAATGACTACTCTGAACCATGATAGCAGGCCTGGGGCAGCTTCTAATTTAAATAAGTATACACAGCACCACTTAGCGGTGAAAATGCAGTCTCCAGTGACATGAGTGAAAAGTAAAACCAGCTTTTTTTCCTCCTGAACACAAACTAAGCCTGGTCTGCTCTTGATTAAAGATGATGATTAAAGTCTCTTTACTGTAAAAAAGGTGTAACTACCAAGTAAAAGAAGTTCAAGAGAGCCGAACAATCTCCAGAGGTCCTTTCCAACCCCAGCTGTTCTGTGACAGCAGAACCAGAGGATCCTGAACTTTGGAAAGATACAGCCACTTTACAAACTTCCCAGAATTCTACTACACTTCATAGCATTCACCTGCGTTTCAGGTGACTCAGCTTCAAGTAGTGTTTAAACAAATGATCCAGCTTACTCTCTGCCTATACTCCAAAGAAGTGCAATGTCTTGGCTCACGAACTTTTACATAGACTTGTGATAGAAACAAATGCAACAAATATAGAAAACCAAAGACTGATTGACAGCAACTGGAACATAAGCTATTATTTTCCATTCCATGAAACAGCTGCAAAATCATCTCAAACTCATGCACTTACATAACCGAGCACAACAATTAACAAAAAGAAAGCCTTTTATTGAGAACAGATTAGTGCGTCTTTACAAGAAAGTCATGATTTCAACTTACAAAGTCAGCATTAGCAGTGCATCTTTCCTGAAGAGGAAATCTTTGTATTTTATCAAATATCAACTTCAAATGTGTGTAAAAACGAAACAAAACACAACCTCCCCCCAAACACCCATACCTATACCCCAAAAGCTCTATTTAGAATACATATATAACTTGTCTTCAGAGATGACAAATGGATCAATTTATACTTCAGGTCCTTCTCCTCCAGGAACCAGCTATAAAAGAGTAAGACAGTTTTGTGTTAGTGCCATGGATCTGAGTTGCACAAACCCGCATCTGATGCTTCTCGCTTATCATTTTAGCAGAGGAGAATTCATAGCAAAACACAACGTTGTTTTTTTGTATTTGATATTATCTTCCTCTCCCAAAAGAGGAAGTCAGTAACTGCCAGAGAAGCACAGGTGTCAAAAAGAAACTCCAGAACACAAAAAATATTTAATACTAAATAGGAAAGGGTTCCTAGACAACACAATGTTATCTGTTATTCAATTCAAGAAGATGATTCTGCCTACAAAGACTATAGTTCATTTTTAAAAGGACAAAGAGTATGCTTCCTGTCAAGAAGCTTTTCTCCAATCAGTGGTTCTTCCCCAGACTGTTACTATACTGGCAAGTTTGTTTACCCCTTCCAGTTTTTATTGCAAAGCAGAGTGCAAACGCTTATAAAGAGCCTGAATCCTTTTAAACACAGCAGGAAATAAGTCAACATGGTGTTTTCCTGTGAAGAAAGTAAGGAACGGAACAATACAAAGGAAATACAAAAGAAAAAATATGAGTAAGGAAAAAAAGAATTCAGTCAAATATTGCTTTTAACAATATTTTCTTCATAATTAGCTGAGAGCTTCTAAAGGCATAGATTTTTCTTTATTTAGGAACAGTAGTTAAAAAAAACGAAAGCATTTTTTTTTGACAGGAGATTTGCCTCAAAAATAGGTACAAGACGTATTACCCAATATTTGCACTGCAAGAATCAGCAGCTTCTGCTTTAAGGGTAAGATACTATCACATCAACTGGACGACCATACAAGAAGTCCATACTCCATACAAGAAGTCTGAGTTTCACTCCATACTCCAAGTCTGAAGTTTCACTCCATACAAGAAGTCTGAGTATGCACTGTCCATTAAGGATGCAGGAGAACAGACAAAGTGGAAAAAGCTTAGAAATTAAGACAAGATGGCACTTGCTCAGAGAGGTGGGACACAGAGTAAGAAGGTAGCAGTGCGGAGGTTATTCCTCCTTCAGAGAGTCAACCTAGACTCAAGTCTGTCTTCTTCCTCTTCTCACAGAACTAGGAATACCCTTGTATTCAGATATAGTAGGCCCTGACTCGGCAGCCATCTACGCAAATAAGCAAAAAACTACTGTAATAGGTTTGTTTTTGTGGTAAAGTGCCTAGGAATTCAGCTGAGGGATGCATAACCGTAATTATTGCTTCAGTCCTGATCTGCATATATCAACATAAAATAAACTAAAATCATAGTGCTTCTAATTCAGTATAGCCCAACAGATCTCCACATCTTTTCTCAGTGCACATAAAGGCATTGCTCCCTGGGTATCACATGCTATTGTAACAGTCGAATGACTTGACCTGCGTGTAAGTATCCAAACTGCTGCAAACGCATCCATACATAAGATAATGGATGTGATTTAGATGCATCCTGCCCTACATAGTTGTACAGCCAAGCACTCGTAAGTTAAAAGCCGCTGTATTAACCAGCCTCCAAAGAAGGTTCCAAAGCCAGAAGTGATTCCCTAACACACCTGAAGACCAGAAAAGGATTCGCCAAAATGAAATTATGACCATCCCATTTTCACAGATGTTAAGCTGTAACACATGACAAGTATGGCAATAAGATCGCTTCTCTAGCCTCAGTCATATACACATATGCCCCTAAAGCTACTCGAAGTAGCCTATGTAACGGACCACTCAGCTTGGAGTAGCAAATCAAGCAATAATTGAATTCAACAACTGCAGACATAAGTGCATGCAATCTCTTTGCAATGACGACTTACCATTGTTATGTTATTTCCGTTTAGCAAAATCTGGTCTAGTTTTGTGATTCTTCTGCCCTCAGGTGTAATTTCACTGAAACGGCATCAGGAAAAGAAAAAAAAAAAAGACTTAAGTAAAATAAGAACATACCACTATGGAAGATGATTATAGTTTTGATGATTGTACTGACACAAAGCTCTACATTAGAATGAAATTTATCAGAAGTAACAAATAAATTAGCTATCTCACAACATAATCTTGATACATTGGCCATCTGGGTCAAGAAATCTACGTGAAGACCAAAGAGATCCATTGTACTTTTCTCCTTAGCACATAAAGATGTGGATTTACCCTCTAAATCCTACCAAAATCTTGACTACCACTAATATTCAAAAAAGGCTGCAAATAGCAAGATAGCAAAACAAAGTAATGACTACTTATCCTTAAGTGTGCCAGGTTTCCAAATCTTTGCCTATGTGTTACAAGGCCTTAAAAGCAAACAAACTACTGGAGAGTTCAACCCAGAACCCATGCAAAATTGAGGCTGTAAATTAGGAGCTTCATTAAAAATATTTACTGAGATAAACCATGAAACGGGTGCTCTATGACATGGCTGTCCTCAATAGGTCATCATCTAGTTTAAGTCTAAGGTCTAAATTATTCAATCAACAAGTATTCCAAAAATATCACATTACTGTGCTGATACCATGCTTTTGTAACTTGGAAAATCAAAGTTTAAAAAGCCACAAAAGATAGAAATAATACTTACAATTCTGTAACATCTTCTAACACCATGTCTGAAAGTCTAGTTTCAAGGAAAATAAGGTAGAGAGACCTTAAGGTGCAGAGACTCTAAATTATTTTCCTTTTACGTGGAAGTGTGATTTCATCTATAAAATAAAATCAGAGTAACATATGAAACAATATAATAAATTTCTACTCAGTGGAATTCCAAACTCTTAAAAGTAACAGACAAACTGAGCAGAAACATGAAGTTTAGGCTTAAACCTTTCCATTAAAGGATACTGACAAAGTCATCAAATCCTAGAAGCGTTCCAACAATTTCTTTATCGCTCTTCATCACAATATGAATGCGTGAACCTATACATTTGTCCACAAGTTCTGCGAATTAGGAAAAAAAATTAAAAGCATTAAAAACACACTTCTAAACAAAAAGCCCAACATTATGATGGCAAAAAAGTAATTGTCAAGGGCACCAGCAAAACAGAGAAAAATAAATCTTTTCCTTGCACAGTTTACTACTAATGCTACACAAAAAAACTCTCTAAGCATGTTTATACAGTACTATTACCTTACTTTGGTGAAGCCATATTACTACTGCTGTTAACTGCATGTTTAATTAGTACCTGAGAGCTAAGCACCAAAGTTAGATCTATCTTCAGCAGACCTTTGTGCTGCATCCCTATCGAAGATATGAATAATTTCTTTGAATGCTGTCTACTCTTAAAAGACTCGTTATTATTTTTCCCTCCAGAGACAGAAATTTAAAACCTCTCCTAATCAATATTTGCCAGAAGTCGAACAGTTTACCCATCCAGACATTGCTCCTGAGCGGCCCGAGTAGCGATATAATGCACTGGGATCCCACAATTTAACAAAAAGATGTAAGGCAGAAATTTTATGGACAAGTTACGACTGTTCTCCTCACCTTTCTTCCCTGACCACCTCCTCTCACAGCAGTGGAAAGCTTTTGTTAGGCTTTACCTCAATTTGGGGGGGTTACTTTGTTTTTTTTTCTCCGCCAAAAACGCTTGACGTTTGAGCTAGAACCATGCAGCCCCCTAGGCTGAAGCCGTGACGGGCGCGACTTCCT